TAGGCAAATCCTTGTTAATGTTAGAAATCGAAACAATTGATTCCCTAAAGCGAACAAGGATGCAAGGTTGTTTGTAAAGAAGGTTATCTCTCAATTCTTTTGTGCTCACACATAGATTTTGAGTCACTCTTTTCTTCTCACATTTAGGTTCACTCGCCTCCCATGGGTCATTATTCTTTTGGCTTTTATAACTAGTGACCTCTTTTGCTTTTGCCTCTTTCTCAACTTTTTCTTTTTTTTTTGCTTTCCCTACCTCCTCACAAATTATTATTTGATCTTTAGGGACTGGAAGTGTGTCATTATTTGCTGGTCGTTCTTTCTCCTTGTCAGGTTTGTCATCTCTTGGCTTTTTCAGAGAAGATGGAGTAGAAGATGAGGAAGGATTTGAAGGATTACCTTGGTAAGAGGATGAAATACCTTGGTAATTTTCTCTGAATCGGAATCTCCTTTGGATTTGTGCTTCGATTTTCATTGCTTTCTTTAGTGTATCTTCAAGGTTTTCGTACCCATGTAGATCAAGAAGATCAGTGATGTTTGAGTTTAAGCTGACGACGAATCTTGACATGGTGACCGCTTCTTTTTCGGTTATATTAGCCCTATTGAGTAAGGACTGCATCTCCTTATAGTAGTCTTCAACTGAACTTCTACCTTGTCGAAGTCGGTGTAGTCGTAGTTTAACTTCTAGTGTATAATGTGTCGATATGAATCGCTTACTCATGGTTTGTTTGAGGTCGGTCCAAGAAGTGATTGTTGGAATTTGGAAGTTCTGGATCTTTTTCCTTGTTTGCATCCACCAAGTTCGAGCATATCCTTCGAATTGCATGGTGATGAGGGGAACTTGTTTAGCTTGGGGGCAGTCATGGTATGCGAACATGAGATCAACTTTTCCTTCACAATCGATGTACCTGTCCGAATCATTGTCTCCTTTGAAAGACGGGATCGTGAACTTTGGTTTTGCAAAGAGTTCGGGTGCTTGAAAATGTGGTTGTTCTCGCCCGGGTACCAAAAGTTCAGCATTGTTTGGTCTTGGATTCTGGTTTGGTAGATCCAGTTGTGGTTTTTTTCGTTCTCTCACGATTTCATCAAATCTTTCAACTTGAGTCATGAGTCGGGTAAGTGTGGCTAAGATAGTCGTAAGTATCTTGTTGTTATTGTCGCCCATCTTGAAATCATAACACTAAAAAGAAAATTTTAAAGTAAAATAAAAATAAAATGAAGAAAATTCAACAAAGCAAGAAACCTCACAAGTCACTCCAAGAAAGTAACACAACGAGAGGCAAGTAAGCCGATCTTGTACTCTTTAAAACTCACTTTACCAAGTAGTCTTCCACAGTTCGTATCGGAGTTTGATTACTAGCAAAGGCGATAAGAAAAAAACTTAAAAGTTCTAAGAGGCCAAACAAAGGTTAGACTCCAAGAGAACGAGAATGCAAAGAAGGAAGAAGTATGCAAACTCTTTAGTCCTACTAAAACAAGGAAGATAATGTGTTAGATAATGCAAAAGAACAATAACACGGAAAAACAAAAGAACCTAAAGCACTAAGAGTCAAAGAAAAAAAGGATCAAACCAGAAAACCTAGAAAACGCTGGATCAACTTGAGCAACGTTTTTGAGGGGGTTACCGATATCCAAAAATTATGGAAAACTTCTTGAATGTCTTTCGATGCGTCAAAAAACCACCTGTAAAATTTCAGAACCAAATACCTTCAGTAGTATCTAGTAGACTCTGTTGAACGGTGAGTCCTCAAACAATCTGTTTTTCTTGATCGCTTTGTTCGAAGTTGTTCTTGATCTCCAAAAAATCTGATTTTTTGTGAGAATTATCTCCAATATATGGAGTTTCAATCTGGAAATTTTCACCACAAAATTCCTCCTGTAAAATTTTAAAGAAATTCGACAATATTCTATACTGAATCTGCCGATAAAACTTAAATGTTGTATTTGAAGGATCTAATGAACTCTGATCGAAGTGAATTTTGTACTGGAGATTAAACTTAAGGCGAATATGATATCTGGAGAAAATCAAGCCTAAATATCTTCGTTTTCAATTTTTTTGAATTTTTGGCATTTTTGTTTTTTTTTTGTTTTTTTTGTTTTTTTTTTTGAAAAAAAAAGTAACAAACTAACAAGAAGGATTTGAATCTAAATTAAAATTAAATAAAAATAACCTGAAACGATGAATCTTCTCTGAACTAGCTCCGTTGAGGTACCTTGACGGTGTTGTGTGCAAGAACAAACAAGATTGCTTGTTTCTTTCCAAGAATCGGCCCAAATCTGATACCAATTGATAGGGAAGCGGTGGCGGATTGATGAACGTTGCTCTTGTTGAAGAATCAAACCTAGAAAAGATCTAGACTCGATGAAGAACAATAAGGGATGAATGGGGAAAGTGGCGGTAATAGATAGGGTTCTTTAGGGTTTCTTTTTGGTGATGGAAACAAGATTAAAAATAAGATTAAAAAAAAGATAAAGAAAAGATAAAAGAATTGTAAATAAAATAAAATAACCAAGAAATCAAAAGATCCCCCTTATGAAGGTGAAAGGTAAAGATGATTGATGACGTGGATGGATATGTGGAAAATCGATGGATAATGTCCTATCGAGCCCTCCTAGTCGCAATGAAAAGGCAAACACGATAATATGGCTCCAACCAACCCTCATAGTCGCGATGAAAAGGTAAATTGGAGTGTGAAGATTAATCTCCCTCACAAGAACTTGAAAGAACTCAAGGAGAAGAAGCTTCGAAGGCACAAGACAGTCAACACTTACAAAAATGAACTCTCGTTGTATTATTAATCAAAGAAATCTTCCATTACAAAGTTTAATGAAGCCTACTTTATATAGGGGCTGAGTTTTAAAGGTCCTAAATAACTAATGAATAAAATAATAATAAACTAAAAATATCTTAACTCTAATTCCTAATAAAATAATAATAACTAAAGATAATATTTTTAACCAAACTTTAATTCCTAATAAAATAATAAATCTAATCCTTAAAGATAATGCATCATTCTATATTAAGTTATATTATAAATAATCAATAAAAATATTGAAAATTCGTAATATTTACAATATCCCGTATTAATCTCGTATAGGATTTTCTGCATGCACCGTCTTCAGTAAAATAGCCATACCTTGAGTTCCCGATATCGGATTGATGCGATTGAAGAACCGTTAGAAAGATAAGAGACAGACGGTCGTATCTCCAGAAGACATCTTGACTAAATAAGATCAGGATCCCATTCAAAAAGTCGTCGTAAGTCTGTTTCTGTTCTGATCTTCTTTTCCAATGCTTGGACGAGTAAATCATTTGGAAGAGTTATTACTTCTTCCTTTGATGTGAGCCTTGTGATGCATGTATCAATCATCGACCTACCACGCGCCTCCTTTGCGGAAGCCTCGATGTCTGGACCCCGAAACAATCAATGCGTTGCGGATAACCGTGGCGACTCGCGGGAGCGAGTGTTGTATTTTGTATATGCCTTGGAGTGTTTGCTGATGGCGAGAAAGTTAAGGTCTTGCCTTGTTGTCGCCATCGCTATCACCCCGAGTGTGTTGATAGGTGGCTCAGGGCTGAGTCGAGTTGCCCGCTCTGTAGAACTTCTCTCCGAGTTGAATCAGATGCGTTTGTTCATCAGAACATTCCTGTCATTGTAACTCAATAACCACAAACAAAAAAGTTTTTTTTCCTTGTAAATTATATTTGTGGAAAAGCTTTTGCTTACACTGATTTGTTCGAGTAGTGATTTTGTTTTTGGACCGTCTGGATTTGCCATTATTGTGAAATGCCACCATGTGCTCGATGAATTTGCTCAACGAACAATTCGTCTTCCCTATTGCCTTTTCGCGTTTTGAACGAAAACGGTAACGTTGCCAAGTTAACAGAGAACGAGAAGTCTTCTTGGGTAAACTACGCATTTAGTACCTATATTATTATTTTATTGAAGAATATGCATCGCTGTTAATGCTGACTCAGCTGTCAATCAAGTATCCATTTAGCGTGAAAACCGCTATGAAAGTTAAAATTTATTAAGCTGCTCGACATCCAACTGGAGTTGTATTCACTATATAAGCATTACAAAAGTAATCATTCTTGAGGTATTCAAAATACTTTTCTATTAGTTTAGTTCGTTTTAGTACTTAAATTTTTAATTTTTTTAAATTTATATCTAACGTTTAATTTTTATTTAATTTTAGTATCTGTCGTTAAAAATTTAACACGTTTAATAGTTAAATTATTAGTTTTGGTTCATTTTAGTACCTAGACTTTCAGTTTTTTAACAAAAAATTAATGTTAAATTTTAAACTGGATAATAAAATAAAATAAAATAAAAACTAAAATTTATGTATAATTTTAAAGAAATTAAAAGTTTAAACACTAAAATAAACCAAAACAAATAGTCTAACCATTAAACGAGTAATTTCCTCTAGCTCTTTTTTTAATAATTTGAGATATATAGTTACTTAAATTTAAGAACATCCTCTTTACCCATTCAATATATATATTTTATTAATATAAAATAATTATAAAATAATTCATGTTTAAACGACTTTCAATCATTTGATAATTGACATTAGAATATTTTCGTAAACGTCGTAAACATTTAAAGATAACGATAATACATTTAACTATTGAAGCGATTTGTATTGTAATTTATATTTTAATGTTATAAATTGATCCTTCAATAAAATAATGTTATAAATTGAGTGAATTAGATTACATTATAATATTTATTTAATGTATTTAATCAGTAAAAAATTGTGTTCTTTAGTTTTAATTTTTTTATATTTATGTATTTAAATATATAAAAATTTTGTATTTAGAATAGATAATAAATGGAATAAATTAAATTATTTGAAGAAAATTTGATTTTGGGCTAAGAAGGTCAGCATAACCCAATAAAGACTAAAAGTCCAATTACCCTAGCCTTATCAAACAACGACGGCCTTTAGGCGGTTTAGGGTTTCAAGCTTCTCTCTATATAATCTCAAAGCCCCGGCTTTCATTTCCTCACTTTCGTCGCAGGCTTTGAAGAAGGAAGCAAAACCAGTGATTCGGAGCTGCGAAAAGAGATCGATTTCGAAGTCTTTTCGTCATGAGAGCTAAGGTGCAAACCTAATTTCCTATCACGATTTTCATTTTTGATTTTTTTTTTCTCAATTGTTCTTTGATCGAAATATTGAAATGGGTTTGCTTTTTTTTTTGGGGGTAATTTTCAGTGGAAGAAGAAGCGTATGAGGAGGTTGAAGAGGAAGAGAAGAAAGATGAGGCAAAGATCTAAGTAATCTAATTTCTTTGGAAGCCAGTAATTCCGATCTCTTGTTCTTTAGATTTCGCGTTGCTTCATGGATACTTTACTTTTAAGAAGGATTTTCGTTGTTGCCTTTGATGAACCATTTTGATCTTATTGGGAGCATGTTGATTTTTTTTTACTGTTTTTGTTTGCATAAAGTTGCGAATGCTTTGGTAATACGTAATTACGGAAGATTGTGGCTTAGATTGAATTTAGGGAAGCATATAGTTAGTGACTAGGCTGATCAGATTGCTTATTTCTGTCCTTTTGCCATTATTATGCAAGTTTTCTTCAGCTGTGAAAACTGGGAATTAGCTTTAGTTTACTCGATTATTAGTCCATGCGGCACTTGAAAAGTTGAAAGGGATGTTTCCCTGCCGAGCCAGCTCTAGTCACCATTGTCTATTCAGAAAATAAGCAAACACAAATCAATTCTCAGCCACAACCTGGTCCTTCAGGTAAACAAGTCGAGACCATAACGGTTGACCCCGAAGAGATAGCATCTTCACCCACACTGTAGATTGGGGTTGTGGGGTAGCCTTTTGATGGTGTTTCTAAAACATATTTCTATCTGCAAGCCACAAATTAATTCTTATCCACAGCCTGATCCTCCAGGTAACTAGTCAAGACCATAACGGTCAACCCCGAAGAGATAGCATCTTCACCCACACTATAGATTGGGGTTTTGGGGTAGCCTTTGACGGTGTTCCTAAAGCAAATCTCTATCTGCCAGTTAACCCAATAACATGTCGACCGATTACCTTATATATATGCGAAAACAACATAACCAAAATGCTAGGTTTGGACATCAAAATGCTTGAAATGAGGATAATTTATTTTAACCATGTTTCCTCTTCCCTGCCATGAGACCTTGTATAAAGGTTGGCCTCGGTGTATGATTACCGGATGTGTATATTTTCGGCATTGCAAAGCTGAGTATAGTTGTTGGATACATGTATTTTCCTGGTACTGCAATGCTCGAGTATAGGTTTTTTTTGGTATTGGTTTGTTAGTGTTTCTGATATTGATGGCGATGATGAACTAATTAAGGCTTCATATATTGTCGAGGAAGTCAACTATAACACTAATTGTTAAAAAAAATCATTTCAGCGGAACATGTTTTTACTATAAATCCAATTATTTTTCATTTTGAATAATATAATTGAGAATGAATTCCAATACCACACAAAATGATTCAACATTGATAATTTGTTAAATTTAAACCGAAATATATAATCACAGGGCATTAAAATCAAAATTTATGTATACAAGAATCAAATTAGGAAAGAATACATGTTCCAAAATGTACAAAATCTGCACTGTTCTATTAAAGCCAACAAAATATATCAATGAAAAGTAACCCTAAAAAATTATCATAAACAAAATTCTGTTTCAAATTAGGGGGAAAGATGAATGAAGCAAAAGAAGGAACAATGAAAGTGTTTTCGTATATACTGCTGCTGGGTGAATTCCAAGGACCTCATCAAACGAAAATACCACAAATTACAAATATGCATTATGATAAAAATCCTCGGCTTACCTTCTTGCCAGCAGCCAAAATAATGCTTCTTTCTACAAAAAAAATTATTCAAAAGCCTGATGGAAGTTGCCATAATTGGAACTAAGAAATTGAAGTCCTTTCCGGGTTCGACTCGGCTAAAAACCTTTCAATCAAACCTGTGGCGGGTTAATAACTGGTGCCAATTGGTGGCATGCCGTAAGGTGGCATTGGAGGCATTCCCATTCCCATCCTCCCATGGGTGGTGGTGGAGGCGCAAATCCACCGCCCATACCCGGCATTGGCGGTGCAGGCAATGCAAGAGGTAGCAACTGAGCATACATGTTCTGCAGCATTAGGCATGTACTCTCATCAGTCAGGAAAAAACTTCGAGAAAATGTAAAATCAAAGACAATTGAAAAAGGTTCAAACAAAATAATCTCGATATAAGAACCTCTCCAAACTAAAAAAAGGGTAAAACAAGAAGTCGCACTTAGACAATCGAAGCCTTCCAGCTAATAAAACCGCAACTAAATGATAATACTGAAGACAGTGGAGAACAGAAATCACCTGCAGCAGATACGGGAATGCAAAGTCGATCATATTGTTAATCCAGGCAAGCTCAAGAGCAACATCTGGTCGAAACAAGTCGTAACAGACAAAGAGGCACGATGTGAAGCATTCCTTCTTTCCCTGTACAAAGAGAATGTCAACACCGAAATCAAGTCCGGTTCACAACAATAACCAACATTATATCGAAAATACCAGACATAAGACCATCACACTGCAAAACAAGTGCTATGCTAACCACTGGTTATCAAGTACAATGGCTTTGTACTTATAGTCAATACTACTCAGACTCGAATGTGAGTGTGGGATACAAATGTGTGCCTGACTAAGGTATATTTACGTTTCTCTAAGTTTTTCCATTTATTTGAAAGGTCCCTAAAGGGTAATAGCCCCATAACCATGTCCATAAATACGTTCTCAGATACTTCAAGAAATATTGTGTTGAAAAACATTACTTTGTTTGCACCCTAAAGGAACAAGTGGAAGGAAGCAAATTAACATGATTGGAGTAGCAGTTGGCCAATAAGGAATAATGCTTTATACCATCTATCAGTAAGCAAATACTATTTTACATATTTACAAACGAGTCGAGTACCTGTTCAATGAAGTAAACAAGCAACTCCTCGGCAAGTTCACGTTCACCAGACTGTGAAGCTGTTTTCATTGCATCTCTGTAATGTTTGTCCTTCTTCGACAAGGCAATGGACTGCTTCCATCTGCCTGCCTTTTTGTAAATATATGCAGCAACACGCCTCATTTCAAGCAGCTCGTGTTTCTCAAGCTACACAAGCAAATCGGAAATGATATCAGAAACAAACCCAACAGTGAAACAATATATAAGAAAAACAGTATTCCACCTTTTGTGCAAGTCCAATTTGATCAAAATTATCATGCAAATAAATTGATTCTCTCAATCTATCATAATCTTCTTCCTCTACATAAATCTCATCCAATGCCTCGTTCACTGCCGACACATTGTTGCTCTGAACAGCAACCATGTACGGCTTCACAAGCCACAGATGACCAGCCTGAAATTCCAGAAGAAAATAGTTGTGGACCCAAAATGTATTAATGTAATAATAGAGGAAGTCTGTTTTTTTCAATATTAGACTTTCTGCCAGAGTGGAACCTTACAACACGAGTGTGATCCACACGAAGCGCAAGCACATTCAGCATATCATTGATGAGATCAGGATGTTCTTGCAAGTAGAAGTGGACGGCCTTGTAATATAGCTCGACACTAGCAACTTTGACAATAATATCTTTGAACTGCATATGATCCCATGCATCAGGAGAGTGGTTCATCACAGTAGATGCACCATTATCAAACTCGTCATATTGGATATACAAATAGGTAAGTTCCTTCCGACATATCAAAGAAATAACCTGTCTGTAGAAAAGCATGCTCTGGCAGATTTGGCTTCAAAACATCTAAAAGAAATGACGTAGCCTCCCGTATCAAGTTCCTCTGAGGAAAAGCAGATACCCAAAGAAAACAATATCATGTGATTTGTATAGAAACGTAAGGTTATTTTCACAACCAAATCAATAAGCATCAGACCTGAAGAAAAAGGTCTGTAATAGTGTTGTAATCAACTGGACAACCTCCCTCCATTTGAGACATCATCAGTGCAAAATTAACAGCACCCTGCATGTAAAGCAAGAGATATCCCATTTGTCCATGAAAATTAAAAAGATAAATCCCATCGAAAATTTCATAAAATTAGCTATTGGTTGGCAAACAATAAAAGGGGGCTTTAGTGAAAAGATTTAATATAACTGAGCATATTTATCAATCATTCACATAAGCCTTTTTCAACACCTCAAAAACTAAGGACTACAGAAAAGAGAAACAAACCTGTGGATCTGTACGAAGAATTGTTTGCAGAAGGAACAAATAGTCAGGAGAGTATCCAACCTGAGGAAACAATTTATTCATGAATATTTATGCAAACATTTATAGGAATGTAAAAACACATGGGAGAAATGTTCCCATCTTGGTATGCTGTAAAAAGATAAATCACACAACAATCACACCAGAAAATGCCAACAAAAAGGAAAACGTGGCAACCACCTGCTTTGAGTAGATCAAGATTTTGTCGAACTCCCTCCGTTCTGCAAAAGCTGCAACAACTTTAGGAGTTGCCCTAGCTTTAATATATATGTTAAGTGCAAGATCATTATCCACAGTCTACAAAAAAAGCAAAATGAAATTCGAACAAAAAAATAATACACTTTTTTAAAAAATTTAGACACAATTGAATAAGATACAAATACAATTATATTCTAGTGAGTATAAATAAAACCTTCACAAGATCTCCAAGTTCCTCACTACATTCCAATTTATCTTCAGCTAGCCAGTTCTCTAGAAGATTCTTCTTGTTTTGGTTTACCACAAGTCGAGATAATTCCAATGACTCAAATGCATTAAGCTTCCCTTTAGTTAAAAGTGTGCCAAAGTACTGCAACAGAGGTGGAGTCTGCCCAGCTTGCACAGGTACACTCTGCAGCATTAAAATAAACATTTCTGCCTCAGATAAAATCAACAGAAACATAGAAACCAGAACTCGCATGATAAAAAAAGGAAAAGCAAATACGACCTGAAACTTGGCAACAGTATCAGGTGTGCGAAGGATCCCCTGTGGAGACTCCGCTGCAAGATCAGCAGCTTCTTTATACTTTGTCTGAGCAAACAACTCTTGAAAACGTTGGACAACCTGAGATCTCCAAAACCACAAATCAGGACCCTATTTATACTGAAATAACAAAGTTAAGGATCTAAATAAAATAAAAGATAAAACTGAATAATTGAGGATATGTATTATTGCTAACAACATGCAGCAAAATATGTCAAAAATAAGATTATGCAGTTCAAATGCAAAAACACAACCAATAATTGGCATTAAAGGAAATCAATAAACAAGAGAAAAACATATCTTCAATCTCAGCATTGTAGCAGGACTGAAGAAATCCCAAAATCCATGAAGAAAGCAAACACAAAAGGTATAGCTCTTAGTTGATATATCAGGCTCTTTCTTCAAAGTCGACATCCCATGCAAAGATCCACAAAC